ACAATAGCTACCAAGTATATCTTATTATCTTCATTATAATTGTCCATTCTATCAGGTATGGCAAAATCAAACTAAAAGCAATAAAACCAATCAGAACAGAATATTGAATAAAGCAAAACAATCAGAACAAAGCAAAACAGTTGGACTTCAAAGACAAAATAAAAGGAAATCCTCTGTATTTGCTATATGGCACACTGTCAGACCACTGGCTTGAGGCCTGCGTAATCAATCAAATTATATGAGCATTTAGTCACTTTATGTATCTTAGTTGCTATCAACTCAGGCTGACCATCTGGTTGCTAAGGAGGGGAGTGGTTTGCTGACTTTTCTCTCCCTGATACCCACACAGTTTGCAGTTTGCGCTGTTCACCAAGAAGGCTGGATCCTTGATTTCTTGGTTGGTCCCCCAAGTCCCAGCATGGCGGATTCTTGGGAGAGGCTGGCTTTTCTCTCCCTGGTGCCCGTGCAGCTTACGCTGCTTCTAGGGCATTATTTATAATGGTGGAGAAAAAGTTGGCAATAAGATGAATGTCCAATAGTAGGAAGTAGAAAATTAAAATGGCAGTTGTGAAATTTGTGTAATTACATACATAGGCAGTGCTAGGATATGTGCATAAATATTACCAGACTATATCAAATTAATTTAATTCTGAATGTTAAAGTGTATCTATGGCAAGTAGCATGTACTTGGGTCGTCTCCAACTGTAGGGGAAAGAACATTTGAGTTAGAAATATCTGGGCTGATATATAAGCCAATCTGTGTGCGTGTGTGTGTGTGTGTGTGTGTGTGCGTGTACGTGTGTGTGTGTGTCTGTGGATCTGTGTGTGTGTGTGGTCTTAGGCCACTAACTTAGCCTTCTGGTCCTTGGTTACTCATCAGTAGTGTTGCAATGGCAAGGGAAAACACCAAAACAACACCCAGGATTTGGAGGCAGATTTATTTACGTTGATGGGCACTGATCAGGATCATCCCCAGAATATCAGGCCCTGATCTCCAGTGGTCTAGGGCTTTTATATGATGAATAAGCAAAAGGTACAACGGTGAGGTAGAGCTAAGGATTTAGCTTAGGGCAACAGTACCTGCCTGGCAAGCATGAGATCGTGAGTTCAGTTCCTGATATGTCGGGGCCCAAGGTGAGACAGAACAGCCTGGTAGTTCTTCTGACTAGCTAGCAAGGTGAGATCATCAGTTACAAGGGTAAATTATTAATTATCAGTTTATGAAGGTTGGTACAATGTACAGTCAGGCATTATGTATGTTTGGTTAGGCTGTAATGGTTACAGGGTCAAAAGTATCAAAGCCATGAAACAGTTACAGAGTTAGGCAGTTTCAAAGTAGCAGTTTTAAAAAGAATAACTTCTATTGTACAGTTTTTCCTTTTCAGTATACAGATCATAATCATACCTCAGAAACTTTCAGTGAAAGTTAAGGAACATTATACCTATAAAGCATTTATCATGGTGCCTAAATGACAGAAGGTACCCAGGCAAATGGCAGCAATTACAATTAACATAATCACATTTGATCATTAACGTAATATGGAAAAGGGCTTAAACAATATATATCAAAACTAATGATGATCTTATTAGGGTTGTGGGTAAGTTTTTTCTAAAGTGTTATGATTGAAAAACACGATGGTTTTTACCCATTCTGACCTCGTCTCTGGGTCAGGGCCTCGCTTCAGGACTCTTTCTAGTTTCTCAGCCTGGTTTCTATCATTTGTCCCCACACAGCACAGATCAGAACATCTTGCTTATCTCAAAGGCTCTGTTCCCAGCAGCTAACAAAAGAACAGCTAATAATACAACAGCTAACAATATCATTCCTTGAATAAAACCCCACCCTGAGGCATTGATCTAAGTTGGTCTGAGTCTTATTTTACCTGTGTTGGTCTTACCAATGGCATTTAGTTTTCAAAAGAAATCAATATTTTCGTAGTACTTAACATAGGCTTACTACATTTCATGAGGAAAAGTCAAAATTACAGTTGTCTTGTTCTTGAACAAGTCAACAACCATTTTTAGGTAGTTTCCTCATCCTTTTCCTGTTGTCATGTGTTTATTTTAAGGATAGAGGAGCTCTTGCTTATTGTAAAATACATTTTACAGTGTAATTGACCTGGACTTGAACTGAAGAAGCAGCATTATCTGTGTTATTTCAAAAACCTCAGAGGTCAATTTAGAGGCTATAAGGATTTCACTAAGTTCATAAAACATATCTTAAAGCTCATCTACGTAAAAATAAATGACTACAAGACTTTCAGGAGAAGCAAATTCATTAGTTTTATAATATGTGGGATATTTCATCCCTTATGCAATCTTTCCCTGTTAAATTTTTGAGGTATACTCTTGAGGTTTTAAAAACTATTATTAATGAGCCGGGATTTAGTTTAGCAGCACAAGTGCTTGACTAGCAAGCAGGAAGTTGTGAGTTTGATCCCCGGAACCAAAAAATTTTTTTAAAAAAGGAAAAAAATATTCGTGTACATTGTTCTTCAATACCGTATTTTAGTGTGTCTACTTAAAAATAGTAGTGTAACTGGGCACAGTTACTCAGGAGCCTGAGGCAGGAGAGTTCAAAGTTTAAGACCAGCTTGGGCAACTTAGCAAGAGCTGGTCTCAAAATAAAAATAAATAGGGCTGGTATAAGACTCAGGGCAAAGGCCCTAGTTTCAATACCCAATAACATGCAAAAAAATGTAGTATTTTAAGATAAATGTTAATGCATAGCTGCCAACTACTAAAGTCTAACTGCTGAATTATTAGGTGTTTCCCTGGATTACAAAGGGACAAACTATTCTGTGGCAACTGTGAACCTTTCAGAATTAAGGAAAGGTCAGCATTCTAGAACAATCTCTTGTGATATAGCTGTCATAGTTCTCTTAGAGTGGGAAAATCAGGATAAGACTCAGCTCAAAAGTAATAAGAACTTTGGGAGTAATAAAACCCAAAATGTGTAATTGTCATTCTACAAAAAAAAGAAAAGAAAGTGCTCTAAAGGTTATAACTGCATGTATGTTTAAGTGTATAAGATAGATAACCATATAACTGAGTGTTTTTTGGATCATTGAACAAAACTGTTTGCACTCTCACTGTTTGAAAGTCCACTTTAGGTGCTTTAATTTTGTAACTTGAACAGCTATTTCTAAGATGAGAATATGTAATCTATTAACTAGTGATTTCTTACTGTTTATTTTTTAAATTATATATTACTTGTACCCTTTTTCTGTTTTTTTTTTTCTTTTTCTCCTTAAATAAAAAAAAAAAAGGATAAGACTCAGCTCTCATCTGCACTCAGCAGTGGAAGAAGACAGAATGAAATTCTTCTTAGGCAAGAGGTTGTTAACTTGGCTTATTTCAGTAAGAACTACTGCTTGTAGCTGTGGATTTAGTGGCATAAGCGCCTGCCTGGCAAGTGTGAAGTTGTGAGTTCAATCCCCAGTACCAAAAAAAATTTTTTTTAATTTTAAAAAAAGAATTACTGATGGTATTGACCAGATTTCCTGCCATTTCTAACAAAATACCTTATAGAGAGGAAAGTTTATTTTGATTCCTAGTTCTGGAGGTCTCAGTCCAGGATCAAGTAGCCCCATTTCTTTGGGTCATTGTCTGTGCATCGTGGTACAAACTTGCGGTGAAGCAAACCACTTGCATCATAAGACAAGAAAAAGAAAGAAAAGGAAGGATGGTCCGGGTGTCACTTTCTCCTCTGAGGGCAGGCCTCCCGTGTCCTCTGAATAGGCCCCACCTTGTGAGGGTTCCACCACCTCCCCAGCAGTGCCATCCTAAAGACCAAGCCTTTATCACAAGGGGCTTTGGAGGACATTAAGCATCATAACTATACTGTTTAAAAAAGAGGGGAGGAGGTTGCATCTTCTTGAAACCATGCTTATTCAATAAGCAACCATTGCTTATTCCCTATAGCTATATTATTTAGCCTTATTCTAGATCAAAAGCAAATATAGAAGCCACCAAAAAAAAAAGTATATACACTTCAGCAGTTCACCCCACTAATGAATGCCAGGAAGCTGACGGCCACCACTTTGAGCACCTCTTGTCATTGTAGAGGGCAAAGGTAATTTTGCTTTATGATGTTTCATCATGTCTCAAAAACTTTAGCATGAAAATATTTATACAAGTGGATATAGCTCAGTGGTACAGCGCTTGCCTAGCGTGCACAAGGCTCTGAATTCAATCTGCAGTACCACCAGAAAAAAATTGTGATTTTTAAAGAAATTATACAAGCTTTTCTTTTCCTGATACATACTTTTTTGTGTGCTTTGACAGACTCTGTACATGCATGTTTTGCTCATTTCAGACATCTCAACAGAAACTCACTGTGCTGATTCTGGTATAAAACTAGTTAATTGGTTCTCTAAACCTCCTTTTCTAGGTGAAAAACTAAATTCCAGAGAATTTCTGTTTGGGCTTTATTTAGTGTGGATCCAAGGTTGCCTTAACTTCTCAAATTTAATATATTTTCCCTCCACTGAACACACCATAACACTCTTATTTTAAAAACTTGAGGATAAGAAAAAGTGAAATCCATGAAAAATGAATTTGATCTTACCTGAGATTAGTTTCAGGATTCTTTTTTAAAAAATCAGTTCATGTAATGAAAAAACATTGAATTTTAGTCATTTATAAAGTGAAAAATTCATTACAGGAATTAAAGCTATTGCTTTTAATTCACATGTTGCTGGACCCCACACATTGTCTTGTACCCACAACTTTGTCTGTAGCTATTGCTAGCAGCCGACGCTCCATACTTCCTCTTCTGCATGTATCATAGCCAAATTCTCTTTTCATTATATATTGTTGTCATTTATTATGTAAAGAGAATACAATCAAAATCAATAGGAAAATAAATTCCAGTTAATGTTCATTCTCTTAGCAGTTCTTTACTGGATCAAATCTATTCAACAAATAAGGTAGTGATTCATAAGTTAGAAAAAAATAGGGAGCCATTGCTTTATTATGACTGTTTATCTTTTTCATAGCCCAGGATGCACCTCCACTCAGCAAGGCTGGACAGGATGTGGTTTTGCATCTGCCCACAGACGAAGTGATTTTGGATGGCCGTGAAAGCTCAGATGACCATGCCATCATCCAGTACGAGTGGACCCTGCTACAAGGTGACCCATCAGTGAGCATGAAGGTAATGCAGGTCGCCCTCACCAATGACAACCAATGCTTCCAGGAAGCAGTCTTTATAATGTTCTTCCCCTTATATTCCTAAAATGTCTGTGAGCTAGTAGAAGAGGCATAAAACAGAGAAAGTAAAAAATTGTCCCAAAAACAGGACAGTGAGTTTTCTATGGAGTTATCCATGGTTTTGATTGCTTTGAAGCTTATCTCTTTTCTGCTGCTTTTTCTTGACAAAAAAAGTGTAAAGAAAAACACTATGTTCTATTTCAGTGACTCAGATGACTAAATATCTTATTTCTTATTTTACCTTGTTAAAATTCAGGTCGAAATTTTTGAAAAGCACAAAGGATAATAAATCACATAGTGAAGTGATCCAGAAAGTGAATGGCAAGGCCTGTTTGCTGCTAGGGCAGCACAAGTTCCCACTCAGGTGTCCCCTGACGGGCTCATCTGGGTGCAGTTGGACTTGCTGCCAATAGGCACGAGCCTTTTGTGCTGCGGCTGCCTACACATAGTGAGTATCAAGTCGTGAGGCCAGTCAGGACTTTCCAGGCAGGAGCATTTCCTACCTTGGGCACATTCATGCAGATCACTCTAACCCAGGCATGACAGCATACACCTGTGATCCCAGCACTCCAGGAGGATCACCATGAGTTCGAGGCCACCCTCGGCTGCATAGGGAGTTCAAGGCCAGCCTGGACTATGTAGTGAGACCCTGTCTCACAAACACAAAAACAAACCACTCAGCCTGGAAGAAGGTGAGGTAGTAAAACACCAGTTTACACTGTACTGGAACTAAAGCAAAAACAGTCATCTCCAGTCCCATTACCTGATTTAAGAGTGTTGATTTACTCAATGATTAGATAGTCTTAGACCGGGACTGAACCCTTGTTTAGCATCTTACTCAATCTCTCATCCAAATAGGAGCCCCTTCTATAGCAAGCCTTCCGTGAGCTGTCTGCACTCTGTCTGCCTTTTCTATGAACAAAAGCTCACTGTCATACATCATGTCTTATGACATTGTTAATCAGCTCTAATTATTAGGCAAACAGATCATACCTCCTCACTACTTCTGTGCATCAGTGCCAGGTCCTCCCTTTGGAAAAACACTGAAAATGTCTTGTTATTCTGCACAAAAGACCTTGAATTCATTTTTGGAACATACACCATCCAGCCTAGTCTGGGTATTTTAGATTAGTTTACCCTCTTCTTAAAATCAAATCCTATATTTATGCTGTGCTTCTTCCTGATGCAGTGTTACCTCTTAGGATCCAGATGTTGTCCGTACTTCTGTTATTGAAACTTAATTAACATGTCTATTTTAGTGGCTGCATCACACAAAAGACTGCTGCAGAGTCTTTTTGGTAGGATTACCTACAAACTGCTTCATTTTTTTGTGGGTGCTGTCATGGAAATGGTCTCCCTTCTCCTGGGTACATGCACTTGATTAAACTTTCTTGGGCTGGGAATTTAGCTCAGCTGCATAAGCACCTGCTTTGTAAGCAGACAGTAGTGAGTTTGATCCCCAGATCTCCTTTATATCTCAACTTTGTTTTTTTTTAATCTGTAACAGAAATAATTTTGAACTTTTATCTATCACATTTCTTACCCTATCATCTATCACATTTCTTACCCTTCTATGCATTACATCAGCTGCAAGACCGATTACTAGATCTTAATTGAAGTTTTGAAATTTGAGGTTGATTCAGAAAGATGGGCAAGCTAGTGATCACACCAAGTTCTTCTTGGTTTGATGGTTTGTGTTGAGACGTCCATCATAATTCTGATGGATTTTCCTTTATAGATGATCTGTTTCTTTTCTCTAACAGCTCTTAATATTCTGTTCTTGTGTTAAATTTCTGGGACCTTGATCATTATATGTCTGAGTGTAGATTTATTTTGGTTTTGGCTAGCTGGAGTTCTACATGCCTCACTTATCTGAATGTCACTTCCTTTTCCCATACTTGGGAAGTTTTCTGGTATTATTTCTGTAAATAGACTTTTAATGTCATTTGTGTTGACCCCTGCTTTTTCACTCACACCTATTATTCTTAAGTTAGTTATGTTTCTTTTGATTGTCTTGCAGTCATTGAATTGTTTTTTCCTGATTCCTTGTTATTTTTAAGAGATCTTTCCTTTCATGATCATAAGTTGTAAGCCTGTCTTCAAGATTTGAAAGTGTATCTTTGGTTTCTTTCAAGTGGTTTTGCCAGCTTTCAATGGAGTTTTTAATTTCCTAGATATCTCTTTGAATCTGTTTCCTGTATTCTAAATCTTTTTTATATTATTCATTCCAGGTTTCCCTCATTTTCCTATGCTCCGCTATTCTTCCTTCCGTGTCTTCTTTAGATGTGCTTAGCAATTCTTTTATTATTTTCATTTCTTTTTTTTTTACCTGAGATAGTATTTCTGTTCTAATTTCTTCTATAGCTTCATTCAGTTGTTTCTTTACTTCAGCTGCCATCACTTCAGAAATTTCAGGTGTGTGACTCCTGATCTCTTCCATGTTTACATCTCCTGGACCAGCTTTGCTTGGGCTGGAGGCCAGAGTCTGCCTTTTGTTCTTCATTTTGACATATTCCTTGGTTCTTCCAGACAAGTGGGTAGTGGGGTCAAGCACTTCCTGCATTGGCAATAATTTCTCTGAAGCAAGCCTAGTTCTTCTAGCCAGTTCTGGCCGAGTCCCAGCACGGCCACAACGGTGCAAGGAACAAGAGCTACGTAGGTGGAGGCGGTGGCTGGGGTGATGGTGGGTTCTAGCTCCCTGACTCTGGTTCAGAATCTTGCTTCCCTTTCTAGGAGACAGCAGGGCAGGAGGCTACGTCTCCATTTATTGTCTTGTGGGATTTGGGAACACAGAGGAACAGGGTAGCAAATTATGAACATACTGGAGTGTGTCCACAAGAGGACTTACAGCCTTCAGTAAAAGAGAGAAAGAAGAAGAGAGAGAAAGAAAGATAGCAATCAAGAGCGAGCATTGATGAGCTCTGTGCTAGTTGCTCTGCCTGAGTGCAGACAAGAAACCCTGAGACCATGAAAGGCCAGCCTTTGTAGGGCTTGTGTCCAAGGTAGGGAGCCAAGAAGGTAGACTAGGACTGATTGTGGACGGACTTCTGGAGGGTGGGTGTGGCAGAGGGACATTGAGTCCTGGCCAGTCTGAGTGTGGCCTTCAGAGTGAAGTGCTCAGATCTCCTCCCTAAACACAAGCTATTCCATTTGTGTGTCAGGTGCCTCAACCAGGAACTCTGAAACTGTCCCACCTGCAGGAAGGAACGTACACTTTGCAGCTGACCGTGACAGACACCGCGGGTCAGAAAAGCACAGACAATGTGTCAGTGACAGTGCATCCCAGGCCCGCCCCTCCAGGAGGTGAGGAGAAAGCCCTATCCTTGTGTTTGCCACAGCCAGTTGCACCAGCTGTCCTTGGAAGGTAGTGGTGGCTGTTTTACATCCTTACTGTGCATTCCATGGCTCTTCCTTTTTAAAATTTGTTATAATTTTATTTATTTAGGTGGTTGAATAAGAGTAGTTTTGTTTTGTTTTGGGTTTTTTTTACTAAAAATATAATAATGAAAACAGGCTCCATTATATTTTAGAATATTTTGACTCCACATATTGAAGTGGAGGCAACACTCGGAGGAGTTGAGAATAGACCATATAATCTACTGGGCCCTGTAAATACTTCATCTTTTCTCATTCATCTTCACAAAAGGCAACTTCGGATTATTGCAAGAAAGGATTTTGTTTGAAAATGGAGGACTTTTTCATGTGCACGTTCAATGAATAGAGCTGCAGAGTACAGTTAAAACATCCTAGCTCCTAGAAGTAGAGAGCAGAATGGTAGTTATTGGAGCTGAAGCAATGGAGCTGACCATGGTCAATGTTTCCCTTAGAAAAGAAATAAGCTCTAGTGACCTACTGCATAGCATGATGGCTATAGTTAATAATAATAATATATCATACATTGAAAAATTGCTAAGAGTAGGTTTTTAATGTTCTTTCTAAAAAAAATGGTAAGTATTTGAGGTGATGGATAAGTTGGCTGACTTAATTTAATCATTCCACAATATATACATATTATCAAAACATTGCTTTGTACCCCATAAATACATACTATTATTATTTGTTAATTGAAAATAAAATATAGGATAAAAAATGAAAATCACACCACAGAGTAGAAGACTTAGTTCTTAGGTACAATAAATTGTTGATATAATAGGTCATTTCAAAATTTTAAGAAAGAAACAAAGAATGTGGCTAAGGAGTACAGTTAAGACAAATTAAATTATGTAAAATATATGGGTCAGTTGGAAAACACTACTTAAAATTTTTTAAACACTTTAACTTTAACTCAGATGCATACATTAATATAATTTTAAATACATAAAATATGATTTCTTACATTCTGCTTCACAATATAAAACTCATTTATGTAATTCATCTGTATTACTTTCCCAAACATATGCCTTTCTAAGATTAGCTCAGCTTTAAAAATACCCATTATAAGGGGCTGGAGATTTAGCTCAGTGGCATAAGCGCCTGCCTTGCAAGCAGGCAGTCGTGAGTTCGATTCCTGGTACCAATAAAAAATGAAAAAGACAAAAAAAATTTTTAAAAATACCCATTATATGGAATTTGGCAGTGCTAAAGATGCAGTGGTGCTGTAGGGGGAGGCTTGCATGATGGACCTCTGGAGAACTGCTGAGATGGCGTGTCTATGAGTGTCCTATAAGTTGGTCAACGGGTATGTTCTTATTGTCTGTTGTACCTGGGAAGTGTGCCAAGCCCTGGGGATGGAACAGTAAACTCGTAGATACAGTACTATCCTCTTGAGGGGTCTAGTGTCAAAAGCTGTGCTGTCACTAGCCATAGCTCTAGCAAACTTGGAGCAAGTCTCTGACATTCTTGAATATACAGGATGCCGATCATAAATACCAAACTGAAGAATAAGGGTACAAGAATTGGAATATGACTGATATACTTCTATACATGTAAGAATTGGAATATGACTTTGGATTTAGTCTTCCTCCAAAATCATAGGCATGCATATTGGAAATGGAGATTCATAAAGAGAGATTTTAGAATCCTAAGAACATGGGTACTTTGATAATTTGCACAAGCAGCATTAAAATGTTGGTTGGCTGACCTCTCCCTGTTCAGCCAGGTTTAAGCTTCCTTTAATGAAGGAAGAGGTAACCACACATGGATAAGCCAGTGCCAAACACCCACCACCCTGGCACCATGAGGTAATTACCAAACCATGAGGTGCCAAGGGTGGTGAGTTCATCTCCCCTATCTGGATTTGAGCAGCCCTAGTGATTAACTGCAGCTGTACAACAGAACCAGTCATCTAGGATGAACATTTTCAGATACCTTGGTGGCCAGGTGTGAACCACAACCACTGGGAACAGAGTCCTAGGCATGCTCAGAGCTCCCCTGGAGTATAGGTTGGGATGAGGGGTCACCTTGGGAAAAAGATGCAGAGAGCCTGTCATCCACACAGAAGTTAGAAGACAGTTGATTTTGTCTAGCCTTGGTGTCTGGGAGGGAGGAAGAGCCTGTGTAGACAGGAGCAGTTAGCTGACCTCTCCCTCAGCAGCAACTGATTTGCTGCTATATAGCCTCAGGCCAGCTTTCCAACTGCCAGTTGTAAATTTCTGGCCCTTCTCCAAGTAATAAAATGCATCTAAAGTAACAGAGAAGGATGAGAATCACTTACTGAAAGGCTACTCAGATATCACTTACAGATATAAGTTTGTACAGGAAATAAAAATGAATCAGTGCGGTACTACTTACTACTGCTATCACTAGAAATCACTTACTGATTGTATTGGAAGAATATGCTATGGGTTAAAGTTGATGAAACATCATATGTAAATAGTGAAAAACAGCAGCAGGAATTAAAAGGAGTTTCTGCCTCTTTTTTTATATCAACTCTTCAGTGCTTTTTATGTGTCTGAAAAAAATATCTATTCAGATAACAAGCCAGAAAGCACTTTCAATATAATCTAGACTCATGATCTCCAAGTAGGATCCCCTTGATTTTCAAGATTTTTTGTACCAGGAATCAAACTCAGGACCTCATGCTTGCCGGGCTATCCCTGGCCCTCAGGGTATTTTTAGGGCAGCAAAGATGCTGAAACCTGTATTTTTACTAATTCTGAATCTTCTTTAAAATTTTCAGCATATTTGATAAAGTATACAGCATATCATTTGCAAATAAATTTGAGATGCTTGTTCAGTAATATACTATTTTTTTTAATTGGTACCGGGGATCGAACTCCCAACCACTCCCAACCAGCACTAGCAAGGCAGGCACTTATGCTGCTGAGCTAAATCCCCAGCCCCTGGTAATGTATTATTGACCATGATGCGTGGTCAGTTTGGAAGCCAAGCATAGTGGCGCATGCCTATAAACCCAATTCTTGGGAGGCCAAGATAGGGAGATGCCATGAGTTCACATAAGTGAAGTCAAGGCTAGCCTGGACTGCATAGAGAGACCCTGTCTCAAAACCCAAAAAAACAAAACAAGAAATGTTTGGAGACCACTAATCCAGAAATAGGTTCATAATAAATATGATTTTATTTCTAAAACTACACAGAAATAAGTAAGGCCTTCAGATATTTAGGACTTTCATGCCATGGATTTAAGAAACAAGACAAATATTCTAGCCTCATGATGGCATAGCCTCATTTAAGGCATACCTTTTCCATATAAAAAACTTCAGTAGGTACCAGGAGTCAAACTCATTCATATAAAATTATATCTAAAGCAGAGAGAAGAATACGGGCTCCCATTCCGTTCTAAGAACAGAGACCTCTTGGCTGCGTCCTGACCTGCCCCCACCCCTTTCCCCTGGCTGACCCCAGTGAGCTGAATCTCAGTCCTGGCTGCAGGCCTTTTGCTTCCCTCCTTCAGGAGCGTCTGCCATTTCTTTTCTTTTTTCTCTTTTCCTCCTGGATTAAGATATCTTCAATTGCATGACAACCAGGTAAACTCCTTTTCCACTAGTTTAACTGTGTCTCTCATTCAAATGTATCCAAAATTTCATCTGGTTGTATAGAATGTGCTCAGCCACCAGCATAGTTCGCTCCTCACATTTCCTGAGAGAACCGTGTAGTCCACACTTTCCCTGTAAAACTAGGACGCTTTGTCACCTAATCCTAGCTGGACACCTTTCATCTGTATTTTCAGTACCAGTCACCTGATCTTGTGCAGCTATATCTATAAAGTTGGACTAACCAAGAATGAGGAAAATGCAAGTGAGAAGGTCAATAAGAGGCCTCTAAGCTTTCCAGAACCTGTGGCTCAAGCTTGGTTAAGTTTTTCTCATTCTCCAGCCATTCTGTCCAGATGCATTTTCTCGTACCCTGTGTCTGTCCATTTGGGTGGAAAAGAAGTCTAACTTTTCCTGTACCCCTGTCACTTGCCTACAAATAGGATGCATGAATATTTGCTCACGTTACCACTTCTTCTGTGACAACGGCTGCTGCATCGACATCGCCCTGACCTGTGACGGAGTGCGGCAGTGTCCTGATGGGTCTGACGAAGATTTCTGTCAAAATCGTGAGTCTGCCTTTTACCCCATCAGACAGGGGGCTGGCAGGGGTGGAGAAGAGATGTCTGTGTTCTCAGAGTAACATGAGGACTCAACATTCTTTCTCTACCTGGCTTTGAGTACAACTTCATGTGCAAAAGCTGTGCCTCAAGTAGGAATTCACGATCAGTCTCTCATCTGAGTTGCGAATGTCAATTTTTGCTATTGTATATTTTTTTATTTTTTCTATTTTTCAAAGATTTTTTTCCATCCTAAAAATGCTGCAATAATATGATTTTTAAAAATTGTAGTGAATTGACATTTTGCTTTGATAGTCTTTAAAGAACAATTTATAACACACTAGTGTGTAGCTAAGTCAGAAGTCTTCCAGTGTCACGTACATAGAAATCCCCTGCAAGAAAGAACTGCAGAAAGTTAAAGGAAGTATTTATCTGAGGAAAGACAGCCAATCTCAAAATATAAGGTTTAGGTTTTGTCTCCGTTCACTTCTTCATGTATATTATTTGGAAAGCCAGTTACTAAAAGACAAGAGAACCCATGGCCCACTTGAAACTTGGAGAGAAGAATTTTTATAAGGTTCTGACATGTCCTGGATGGGTCAGTTATTTGCCCCAAATGTCAGTGATTTTTTTTAATTTTAAAGAGAAAAAAATAACAATAAAATAATTTCAAAATCAGCTAGTAGGAGAGTAATAATAATAATACATTGCATATTGTTATCTTCATCGTAGTTATTCAGTGTAAGATATAGGCATGAAATATTGTCCAAACAATAGTAGCACAAGCCTTTCTTTTCAGTGAACTAAGAGAAACTAGCTGTATAATTATAACTACCTTGTGTATGTATATATATTTTTTTCTTTTCCCTTCCTTCCTTTTTCCTTTCCCTCATCACAGTTATCAGAGATTTTAAATCAACTGCAAATATATAATTGTAGTTTAAGTTCAGAAAAGAAACCACACAACTAACTGAACGCTTCTGTGCTTCAGTGGGCCTTGACCGGAAGCTGGTGACTCACACTGCAACCAGTCCTGCCCAGCCTGGCCCCACAGGGCTAATCACAGACACTAGGAAGGACTTGCATTTGGAAAAGTCCCAGAAAACCACGCCCCCCAACCTGCCAGCTACCTTACCAAGCACAGAGAAGAGGAATCACTCCACCCTGGGGAGACCAGAAAGTCAAAGCGGCCTTATGATGCCAGGTAAGGCTTCTGGCAGATTCTCCACGAAGAGCCTCATTTTTAGTAAATGTGGCTCAAAATTTAAGAGAAAATTGGTTCTAGGATCCCTGAAATACCAAAATCTGTGGATATTCAAACCCCACATGTAAATTGGTATATTTGCATATAACCTGTATACATCCTCCTGTGCACTTTAAATTTTCTCTAGATTATTAATAATACAATATAAATATAATACAATCTAAATACAATGTAATGAGTTGTTGTACTACTGCTTTTAGGGATTAATGACACCCCAAAAAAGTCTATGCATTTTCAGTACAGACTCTTTTATCTGAGTGTGTGCTGAGGATTGAATTCTAGGTCTCCCTCCTTTACCACTGAATTACATTCCTAGCCCAAAACACAATTTCTTTATCTGAGTATTTTCAATCCAAGATTGAATGAAGAACACTTAAACATGGAGAGCTGGCTGATACATTGCTTTATAGATAAATTAGGGTTAGAAAGTTTTCTTACTTAGTTTAAGGAAATTAATGCCCTAAGTATTAAACTTCAGGTTATTTGGAGATAAGGCAGCATAACCTCTGCATATTTATGTCAGTCCTCTTCACCCTGAGGAAGTAAACTTAAATAAATTGCATCAGTGTGAAGTGGTTTCATGTACTAATAATTCAGGGCTAAGCTTCCAGTTTAAATGTGTAATTTTGATTTTTTGTTTCGTTTTTAATAAGGTTAATAAAATTTTAAAATCACAGTACTAAAGTATTGCAGAACGGTGTCATTTTAAATAATACACATTTGACTGGCATGATTATGTGACTTGGAGACCAAAATACAAAATTATCACATTTCCATATGACCTGCTAATGTCCTTTCAGTACCAAAACTCTGCATGTTTTATTTAAATAATTTTACTATGTCAGTAACTTATTTATTTTTCTTAAAATTGTTGATTGATAAAGGTGTAGTGATGAAGCAGGAGGATTGCCACAACTTCAAGGCCAGCCTGAGCTACCTAGCAAGACTGTCTAAAAAAAAAAATGTTGATTGTACAAGATATGGAACATGTAAAAAAAACAAAAATGACTTAAAATACGCTTTATTGAAACCTACTTTAAATACTTCGATATATTTCCTTCCAAACGTTTTTGTATACCTCATATAGTTTAAATGCCTCTATACAAATATGTCTGCAAAATGGTGAATTCCATTTTTGTTTTTTGTTGGGAAAGCACCCTTCTGCCCATGGCTTGCTAGTACTGCCACCTACTGGGAAGATCAGTCACTGCATGCAAGTCTCAATTCTCAATTTTCTCAGTACAGATTTGTAGGTGGAAGACAATTTTCATCTAAAGAAAGAGTCTGGCTGGGGATTTAGCGCAGCGGCATAAGCACCTGCCTTGCAAGCAGGCAGTCGTGAGTTCGATCCCTGGTACCGATAAAAAAGAGAAAGACAAAAAAAAAAAAAAGAAAGAAACAGTCTGGCAGGGGCTGGGGATTTACCTCAGTGGCATAAGCGCCTACCTTGTAAGCAGGCAGTCATGCGTTCGATCCCCAATACATATAAAAAAGGAAAAAGACAAAAAGAAATAGTCTGGGGTACCAGACATTTATCAGAAATGCCAAAGAGAGTTAGCCCATGTAAACAAATTAGCTGAAGTTAGTGATGGAGGCCAAGTCTGGCCTTAACTTTTTATGTCTAGCCTCTGGTTTCCTTATCTGTCAGTGAGGTACCTCAGCCCGACATCTCTACACACACCCCCGAGGTCCCGTCCAGCACTAAATCTATTCTAGGTGCAACACAGTGCCTCTTGCTCAGGCTTTGCTCCTTCAGCCCTTAACCACACTCAGTACTGCTTGGTGGTCACAGAAGGGGCCCCAGGAGTGTGGCCTCAGGCTCACAATCACGCCCAAGCTGCCATCAGTCAGTACCCAATTTGAAATGCATTTGCAATCTCCATTTCTGGCCTTTTGGATAATAAACCTTTGGTTTGGTCTATGAAGATATAAAGAATGGTATTTTCCAGAACGGAGAGGTAGGCTGTCTGTTTATTCTCTGTAATACATTGGCCCTTTGTTCTAATTATTAAGACAAAACAAATTTACTGTAGAAAAGTAAGGAAATATAGAAAAATATAAAAAACTAAAATCTAGCAAATTTTTTATAAATTTTTGGTGCAATTTAGATCTACATAATGATCATATTCATCATAGAGAATTTGTACCTGTATATGGTATAACTTAATTCCTCTTTTTATTTCCCAGTTACCTCTCCTCCGTTCAACTCTTCTTCCCTTCCTTATTTATAAAGCTTTGTTCCCGTGTTACCCTTCTTTTATTGTTTTTTCCTTTCCCTTCCTTTCCTGCTCTTCCCTTCCTAGTTCCTCTTTCTTTTGAACCATTTTTTCCTATTTCACAGTATCTATTATACAATTTAGTCCTTATTTGCACTTTCAGTTTCTCACACCAGAGAAACAATGCAGTATTTACCAATTTATTTCACTTAAGAGGATGGTCTTGCCAGGGAGAGAGCTCAGCGGGGACAAGTGCCTGCCTAGCAAGCATGAGGTCATGAGTTTGATCCCTGTTACAAAAAAAAAAAAAAGTAAGGTGATCTCAAGGTGCATCCATTTACCTAGAAATGTCTCAAGTTTATCCTTCTCTATGGCTAAGTAGTACCTTATAGTATAAAAAAAATCTTTTTTATTCGTTCCTCTGTGAATGGGCATTTGGGTGGTTTCCAAGATTTAGCTATTATAAACTATGCTGCCGCAAACATGGGTGCACATATATCACTGTGGTATGATGATTTTAAATTTTTCCAGGGAGGTACCCAGAAGGAGAATACCTGGGCCGATTGAAACCTCTAACCCTACCTTTTTTTGAGGAATTTCCACTGATTTCTTCTATGGCTGCACCAGACTACACTCCCACCAACGAAGGATTCCTTTTCCTCCCACAGCCCCTCCAGCATCTGTTATTGATTGATTTCTTAATGATAGGCATTCTTTCTGGAGTGAGATGGAATCTCAGCATTGTTTTAATTTGCATTTCTTGAATTGCACTAATGTTGAACATTTTTTCATATAGTTATTTACCATTTGTGTTTCTTTCTCTGAGAAGTATATATTCAATGCAATTTTTGGATTAGGTCTTTAAATTGGGGGGGTCTGAATTTTTTTTAGTTCTTTATATGTTCTAGATATTAGGCCTTTGTCTGAGAGGCAACTAGCTAAATTTTTTCCCACTCTGTGGGTTGTCTTCATTCTGTTGGTAATTTCTTTTGCTGTACAAAAGCTTTTTAATAAGATGAGATCCCAGTTGTTGATTCTTTGAAATATTTCCCATGCAATTGGAGTTTTGTCCATGAAATCTTTGCTTACACCTATGTCTTCAAGAGTTCTACATATTCTCTCTTCAGCAGATTTAGTGTTTCTGTTTTAGTTTAGAGCATGGTGAGAGATATGGGTCTAGTTGTAGTCTTTGGCACATAGAAAACCATTTTTTCCTGCACCATTTATTAAATGGCGCAGTGAATGTGTTTGGCCCCTTGGTTTTGACAAAGGTGACTAAGCATGTTTGGAGTTGTTTCTGTATCTTCTAATCTGTTCCATTGATCCTCAGGTCTGATTTGTTTGTTTGTTTTGTTTTCTTTTGTTTGCTAGTATCATGCTGTTTTTATCACAGTGGCTTTGTTGTATGATTTTAAGTCAGGGATTGTGATGGCCCCTGCCTTACCTTTCTTGCCTAGGACTGTTTTTGCTATTCTGAGTCTCTTCTGGTTCCAATCAAATTGTAGGAATATTTTGTCTAATTCTGTGAGGTATGCTTATGTATTTAATTGAGATTGCATTGAATCTGTATAACTATTTTGGGAGTATGACCATTTTTACTATGTTGGTTCTTCCTACTCATGAGCAAAGAATATCTTTCCATTTTCTGATACCTTCTTCAATCTCCTTTTTCAGAGTACTTTAATTTTTAATGTATAGATCTTTTACTTCCTTTGTTAGATTCTTTCCTAAATGTTTTATTTTTTGGATGCTACTGTGCAAGATATTGTTTCCTAATTAGACTATCTCTCAGTGTGTTTGCTATTTGTATACAAGAATGCTATTGATTTTTGAGTACTGACTTTGTATCCAGACATACTACTGAATTCAGTTATTAAATCTATAAGTCTTTTGGTGGAGTTTTTGGGGTCTTCTATGTAGAATATCATGTCACCTTAAGTAATGATAATTTAAGTTCTTCCTTTCCTGTCCCTATTCCTTTTATTTCCTCCTCATGTCCAACTGCTCTAGCTAATGTTTCCAGAGCTATATTAAATAGGAGTGGTACATCTTTGTCTTTTTCCTAATCTTTGAGTGAAAACTTTTAGTTTTTGACCATTTAGTACGATGTTAGCTGTTGGTTTGTCATAGATGGTTTTTATCAGATTGAGGTAAAGATCATCTATTCCAATTTTCTGTAGGGTTTTATCATGGATGGGTGTTGGACTTTATCAAATGCTTCTTCTAGATCTACTGAAATAATCATGTAGTTTTTGTCTTTCACTCTGTTGATAATGGTGTAGTACATTTATTGATTTGCATACGTTCAATCATCCCTGCATCCCTTGGATGAATTCTACTTTATCATAGTGTATAATCTTTGTGATGATTTGCTGCATTCTGTTTGGCTTTTGCATCTTTAGAGAGATGGCCTATAGTTGTCTGTTTTGGTTTAGGCTTTCTCTGGTTTTGTTATCAGAGAACTACTTGCTTCCAGGAATGAATTTGGGAGTATTGCTTCCCTTTCAATTTCATTAAGGAGTTTGAGAAGTAGTGGTATTAAATCTTGTCTAGATTTCTGTGGAATTCAGCAGTGAATCCATCAGGACCTGGGCTTTTCTTTGTTGGTAAGTTTTTTTGTTTTGTTTGGTTTGGTTTGGTTTTGGTCTTTTTCCTTTTTATCGGTACCGGGGATTGAACTCACAACTGCCTGCTTGCAACGCAGGCGCTTATGCCGCTGAGCTA